CCTGCTGTTTGCTCAGCACAGGCCCCTGAGCGCCGGCTCTACCCTAGGCTCTGAAGCTAGGAGGTCGAGACGGATAACAGAGCCCTCCTCACTCCTCAAGGAGCTCCTGGACACCGGGGAGACAGACACACAGGCTCTTGTTTACCTGCTGTAATGTTATTGCAGAAGGAGCCTGGGACAGGCTTCCTGGAGGAGGCAGCTCTTGAACTGAAACTCACATGACAAGGGTAGCCAAGCAACAGAGGGCCTGCCAGCCAAAGGGTCCTCTCAGGTACTGTCCTTGGTCAGACCAATTTCTACAATTAAAGGCCAGCTCTGTCTTGCAAGAGAGGACAGACTGTGACAGCCAGGGAGGCCTCAAGCTCTGGCCAAGGCCCAGGATGCTGCTGACCACTCGGCTCTGTCGTTGGCTCATCGGGCAGCTGGCAGGGCTGGCGTCTCCTTACCTCCCTCGGCCCTACTTCTTAAGTGTTCCCTTCATTGACCCCTGAGGACTCGGGCTGGCAAACCCTAGCTGCTCCAATAAGCAGCCACACCTGTGTGACCTAGGTGGCCCACGGGAGAGTTTTCATCCCGAGACAAACCTGGTCACCAACTAGTGGTAGAGGTAGGTGGGGCCAGTCTGGGAGGCTCCTTCAGGAGCGAGGGAGGCCCCTCAGGTAAGCTGTTGAGCTCCAGTTGGAGAATAGGCACACACCAGGCCCCTCCCCACCTGCTTCCCTGCAGGTCTGGCTCCCCGCCATGAAGGCCAAGGGACTGGAGATCTCGGGCACCTTCACCCGCCAGGTGGGCTCCATCTCCATGGACCTGCAGCTGACCAACAAGGCCCTGCAGGTCATGGCTGACTTCGCCATCCAGTTCAACCGCAACAGGTGAGTCCCCACGGCCACCCAGTGCCTGCAGCCAGCACCAAGGGCCGCAAGGGGCCTGGTCCTGCTTTCTGGAGAAGTGGTGCTCCTCTCCACCCTCAGGCCAAAACTCTATGGCAGGGATTATTTGGCTCAGTGATCTCTGTACATGGACTTTAGAATACCAGGCACAGTGAAAAGGGTGTCTTTTTTTTTTTTTTTTTTTTCCTCCCCCCGTTTCCCAAAGGGGAGGGTTAATGACAAAAACTAGTGGTAGAGGTAGGTGGGGCCAGTCTGGGAGGCTCCTTCAGGAGCGAGGGAGGCCCCTCAGGTAAGCTGTTGAGCTCCAGTTGGAGAATAGGCACACACCAGGCCCCTCCCCACCTGCTTCCCTGCAGGTCTGGCTCCCCGCCATGAAGGCCAAGGGACTGGAGATCTCGGGCACCTTCACCCGCCAGGTGGGCTCCATCTCCATGGACCTGCAGCTGACCAACAAGGCCCTGCAGGTCATGGCTGACTTCGCCATCCAGTTCAACCGCAACAGGTGAGTCCCCACGGCCACCCAGTGCCTGCAGCCAGCACCAAGGGCCGCAAGGGGCCTGGTCCTGCTTTCTGGAGAAGTGGTGCTCCTCTCCACCCTCAGGCCAAAACTCTATGGCAGGGATTATTTGGCTCAGTGATCTCTGTACATGGACTTTAGAATACCAGGCACAGTGAAAAGGGTGTCTTTTTTTTTTTTTTTTTTTGCCTCCCTCCGTTGCCCAAAGGGTAGTGTTACTGACAGAAATCCCTGGCTTCAGCCTAGGATCCTACCTTTGGCAAGCACCCCTAGTATCAACAAGGGGCCCGTCTTACACTGACAGCCCGGAGCTCCTCTCCCAGGCCCAAGTCACTCCGTCTCAGGGAGCAGGCCTGGGTGGCAAGGGTGAAGTCTCAGTCAGGGCCTCTGGGGTTGGTGCTGCCCCAGCTTCCCTCTCCACTGGGTTCCCCTCTGTGTGTCAGTGGAGAAAGCCTGGCACCATCATGGGTCGGGCCAGTGAGGCCAGGGCTCCCTGGGGAAGCACGCAGCCCCTCCTGATGACCCTTCTTCCTGAGCAGCTCTGTGATGAGCAAACCGAGCCTCTAAGAAGTTGACTGAAGGGGCTGCTTCCTCGGGGACAGCCTGTGGGCCAGCAGGTCTGACCTCGGGCAGACCAGGGAGGCTGGGGCAGCTGCGCCACTCGCCCTCAGGTGACCCACAGACCACAGGTGCACCCCGGCTGCTAAGAGCAGTTTCGATTGCTCCTCACATGTTGACTGTGTGCTGAACACTCCAGGTACCAGGCCCAGTGCCAAGGGCTCTAGGAGTGTTGTCTGCCTTGGGCCACCTGACAGCCCTGTAGAATTGATGGTTACCCACTTTTAGTAGGTGGTGACATCTGGGCTCAGAGAGGGCAAGCATCGTGCCCAGGGTCACACAGCAGGCAGTGGTGGACCTCCCAGAAAAGTCCGTAGTTCTGGGCCACCAAGCAGTCCTGGGATTCCCTGTGTCATCTGCTGTGAAGGCCCACCCTTCTCTAAGTCTTCATGTCCTCGTTTGGGAGAGGAGACAGTGTGTGCCTGTCCTCATTTCCACACGGTTAGCAACTGGCACGGCGGTGCCCAGCCCAGGCACACTGGGCGCTCAATGCACTCCCTGTCCCTGCAGCGTGACTGTCTTCCAAGAGCCAGTGGCTGGTGTCCCTCCCTGAGGCAGGTCTTCCTGATTGCCAGTGTGCCGCTTCACAGGCCGCAGCCTCTCCTCTCCTCTCCTGCAGAGAAGCCAGCCCCAGGCTCCTTCCTTCTGCCCACACGGCCACTGAGGGTGGTGGGTGGGAGTCCACCTGTTCTGGGCCTAGAGTCAGTGAGGTTGGCTCAGTAGAGAGGCTCTTTATCAACCGCTGCCCCCACCACGGAGCCCAGGGAGCCACCTGTCTGTGTCAGCACCTGCTCCCCTGCTCTCTCTGCGGGGGCTTCTCTCTCCCCAGCTTTGGCCTGGCCCCCGCCGCCCCCCTCCAGGTCCACGCGCCACTCAGCCCCAACCAGACCGTGGAGATCTCCCTGCCTCTCAGCACGGTGGGCTCAGTCATGAAGATGGAGCCTCTGAACAATCTCCAGGTATGTTCCAGGCAGGGCCAAGCACCGCAGTCCTGGGGGCTGGGGGGCCAGCTGGAGAGTCCTGGCTGGCCTGGCTGGCGTCAGCAGAGAGCTGTCTGGAGTCACGTTCTTGACCACAGGTGTGCCCGGGGAAGCCAGGTCAGAGGAGACAGGGGACATGGTTTCCACAAAAGTCAGGCGAGAGAACCTGCTCAGGGATGCCCTTCCTGGGGCCTCAGAGGTGGTGTCAGCACAGGAAGCAGGGGTCAGGCCGCAGGAACTGACGGGGCCCTTGTGCCTAGGTGGCTGTGAAGAACAACATCGACGTCTTCTACTTCAGCACCTTGTACCCCCTGCACATCCTCTTTGTGGAGGATGGGAAGATGGGTGAGTCCAGAAGGAGCCTCGGGGTCCCTGGGATGGATCCACGGCTTGGGAACCTGGCCGAGGCAGTGCCTTCGCCCAGTGTTGGCAGGTTCACTGGCCCCAGGATGGAGTCTGGGAGCAGAGCTTGGAACGAGCAGCACACCCAGAGCCCAGGGCCCCATCTGTCTGGCTCTCACCCTACGGGTGCGCTGAGCCTCATGGGAGCCGCCTCACCCCTCAGCCTGTCCCACGGCTGGGGAGCCCAGTCATGTCACACTCCTGGTGCCCATCTTCCTCCCGCGTGCCAGGGCCCCAAGAGGGCTGCGCCTGGCCCCAGGGCTGCGTGGAGCCCTTGGCTTCCAGCATCTCACACTCGCCCCAGAATCCCCGGGAAGCAGGCTGGGACCGATGAGCAGGCTGCTGAGGGCCTGGGCAGGGGAAGGCCTGTGGGGCTCAGAGGTGAAGCAGGGTCACTTAGGGACCGGCTTGGTGCCTCACAGAGCCAGGGGTTGCTCAGGGAAGCGGGCGGGGTGGTGGAGGAGCAAGTGCCTTTCCACAGCTTTCAGTGGCATGTGACGGCCAGCCCCGTCTCCTGCCAGGTGCTGTCGAGGGCCCCAGGTTTCTTTTTCTTTTTCTTTTGGAGAGGTTTTTTTGCCATAGGGCACTTGTGCTCGCCAGAAAGACAGAGACAGAGAGACAGAACGAGAAATCACCCCCCAAGGGAGATGGCCACGCCGCAATCCCTTCTCCTCTCGGGATCTTGGGCACGCACGCATTCATGCCGGCGTGAGTTTTGAGCCACCAGGTCCAGGACTCGAACCGCAGTCGACTACATGGGAGTTCAGCGACATAGCCATTACGCTAACTGCTGGTCCCAAGGGCCCCAGGTTTCTCAGGGCCGGTCTCTTACCCCACCCCACCTACCGTCCAGACCGGCAGATGTTCCTGGCCACATGGAAAGACATTCCCAATGAGAACGAAGCTCAGTTCCAGATCAGAGACTGCCCCCTGAACGCAGGTGAGCACTCCGTCCTCCAGCCCAGCCCCTTGGTCCACACTGGGCCCCTCCTGGCACTGACCGTCTGACCCCACAGAGGCTGTGAGCGGCAAGCTGCAGAGCAGCAACATCTTCACCATCGCCAAGAGGAACGTGGAGGGCCAGGACATGCTCTACCAGTCCCTGAAGCTGACCAACGGCATCTGGGTGCTGGCAGAGCTGCGGGTCCAGCCGGGCAACCCCAGCCTCACGGTGAGGGGCCCTGTGCCTACCCTGCCCACCCCACAGCCTCCACCAGCCTGTCCTGGGCAGGGGTGGTTCTGATGGGGTCCTTGTGCCAAGGGTTCCTTCAGGACTGGGTCTGTCCCACTAGGGAACGTCTCAGAAAGCTCCCAACTCAGCTCTGTCCACTTACCCAGTAAGCGCCGGGCTGGGTCCCAGAGCAGTGAACTGGACTAACATGGTCTGAGGTTGGGGCCAGGAGGTAGCCCTGGGGGCTGGGCCCCAGTCGGGGGCAGTGACATGACTGGGTGCAGGCCCTGGCCCTGCTCCCATGTGAGTGCCGGGGCCCGGCTGGGAGGACGCGTTCCCGGGAACCCAGGCCACCCAGTCTCTCAGCCAGGCCCGTCAAGAGATGGGCTTCGGGTGTGTGCTGCTGTCCCAGCCCGAGAGCCCCGGCTTTGCTTCTCCCCGCCCCACCCCCCAGTCTCTGGTAGGCACGGCCCTCCAGACATGGCCTCTCCTGGGCCCTGCTGGCGGTGCTGCCTGTGGGTGGTTGGGGCTGCAGCGGTGGCTTCGGTGGTGGTAATCTCCGTCTCCCTGTTTGGTCGCTGCATGTCGCCTCCCTGCCGGTGCCGTGTGCAGGACTTGGAGGTTAGCAGACCGCCCCCTTTTCCCCATTCCCCCGGCCCTCCCCAGCCACATCTCCAACCCCGGGTGCACCCCAGGTCTCCCATCCACCCTCAGCCTCACCTTCCTGCTCCTAGACCCGGGCAGCCTTGCACAGACCCCTCAAAGGAGGCCCAGGGACCCCGGTGGGGCTAGTGCCACTGATTTCTGGAATTCTCTTCCCCCTCCCTGCACCCTTCACGGCCAGGGATTCTGAGTGGCAAGGATAGGCGGCTCCTCCCCCCACCTGTGAATGCCTGGCTCAGACGGCAGAGCCAAGACAGTTTCTGATGTTCCTGCTTCCTGTGCAGGAAACCAGGGACACCCTGGCACCTCTGCCTTCTCCTGGCAGGGACCTGCCCCCTCCAGGTTTCCCATCAGGTCCAGTCCTGGGGCTCCCTGTGGCCTAGGCAGCCTGCAGGGTAGGGGCCAGGCCCAGCAGGCAGTCCCAGCCCTGAGTCAGCCGCGTGCCCGACAGCAGGCGTGTGGGCTGCTGGTATATTCGTTCCCTGCCCACGGCCGCAGCAGCCACCCCCTCTGCTTTACTTCACATCTGCTTGGCTGCCGGTGCTCCCGAGCCACGTGGGCAC